AAGGCAGAATATTCTGGAACAAAATCTAATGTTTCCTTAAATGTTTCGACATCTACAACACAATCTTCGGCATATATTCTGGTGCAAAAATATAGTGTTTCCTTAAATGTTACAACATCTAATCTTGAGAAACAAATCTTCAGATATCTCATGCTGAAACAAATCTTTAGGGAATCAAATCTTCACACACGTATTTGAAACCTCAGACTATGAAAAATAAAACTTTTGAGAATCTGAAACAAATCTTCTAAATATGGAAATAAGTCAGGTTACAATGTCGAACCAACATGTTAGGACATCTTGTCCAACATCTTGTTGAATTACTTGTTTTAACAAAGTACGACCAACACAACAAAACCTAACAATCCCCCCTTTGGAAAATTTTGGCTAAAACAACCTTTGCATAAAACATCTAGCAAATAACAAACAATGGCATAAACATCCACAAGCAGAAGGGATAAAGCTTTAGCATTACCTCAAATAGACATTGTTGTACCCCAAAATTTTCCCTCTCACTTATCAAGAATGTACTCACAAGATCTCTTTGACTCAAGACTGCATTAGGGTTTGACCAGCTCAAGACACCTCCTCATGCACTGATGACCAAAATTAGGGTTTGAGTTTGCACAAGTATTTTTGGACTATCAATGCTTCATATGAATTTCAAAGATAATTATGGACCCCTAAGACTACTCATGTCAAGTTTCAAGCCTTGAATCACACTTTTGATCAACCAATTGAACAGTTGACCTAAAAATCAACGTATTGGGGGAAAAGTCAACCATGGCCAATCTACAGTCAAAGTTCATAATTTTGGATCCAAATCAACATCTTAGACTCATATGTATCATTTGATCAAGTTTGGACCACAATTTCTCAAGAAATTTGATCAACTCATCAAAAGGGCAAAATGGTCAAAATTAGGGTTTTAACTGAGAAAGGGCAATTTCTGATTTTTGGCCTAAAAAATGATCAATTGATTTGAAGCATGATTTCAAGAGTTCAGTTGAATCATTTTGACCTAATAACATGATTCAAAACATTAAAAATCCATTGGATTGACAGATGAATTTTGCAGTCAACTGATCAAAGATCAACTGTATACTGAAAAGTCAAACTTTAACTTTTTGGTCAAATTCAAGTGCCAAAGATCACAATTCATCAAAACATGTCAAAATATGAAACTTTTTCATCAAGAAATCAAGGATTTAAGATTTTGTTTTGAAAAGTTGAAATTTCCTAACTTAGAAATTTTTCTAAGTATAGAAAATTTCTTATTTTTTCTTAACTTTGAGCCAAATTTTCACCATGATGCAAGATGATTCAAAGGAAACTTCCAACATGAAAGTTGTATATATTCATGAAATCTACAACTTTTATTCACACAATTTCTCCTAAAAATGCTTAGATCTCAAGATATAATTTTGTGAATACATGCTCATGAACTAAAATTAACTTAGTGAAATTTTGCCCTAGTTAGGCAGATTTTTGACCTAATTTCATGGCAATTTTTCACATGGTTCCAAGAGGAATTTTCAAAAGCAATTCAAATATGAGTTATAGAGAACATTGCAAGCTTTCCAAAATGTCCAAGAACTCCTTGAGATCATTTTTGAGTAGGGAGAATCGAAAAGATGAAGTTGGTGATTTGTCACTTGGATTTCAAGCCATTTTATGAAGAACATTGGATCCAATCCTCAAGCATGTTGAAAAAATCCTACTTTGCAGGCTTCTAACTTGACTTTCACTCCATAATTAAATTTTTTCACAGCTGTTGGAAGCTTTAAGCCAAGCATTCAATGCATTGTACAAGAATAATTCCATTTTTGGGAGAAAGGCAACATTGCCATTTTAGAAAAGCAAGCTTTATGCAAAGTCAGCTTGCATTGAGCCTTGCACTTGTTTTTTCTGCGCAAACACACTACACTCAATCAGAACAAGTGTGTTTAAAGGTCTCAGCCCCCCTACAAGCTTGGTACTACACCTTGAAACCATGCTTGCTAGCTTTGCTTCATAAACAAGTAACCAAGCAAACATGTGAATTTTTGAAATCTGAGTTGTTACAAGACTTAAGACCTCTTGCTTATAAGTAGACACACTATTTGCAAGTTGAGACACAAATGTTAAGACTCCAAAACACTCTCAAACACTTTGCAACTCAGAATCTGCCATAACTTGACAGTTTTGAATCCCACATAGCCATCTCCAAATCCACTCGTGCGTATTGAGTTTTAACCACCCAAACACTTAATATACATCATATCAAAGTGATTTAGGCCCCTGTTTCAAGACTGTAGCTCCTCCATCACCATCCACCATTTTCAAATATCAAGCTTGCAGGTTGACTTGAGTAGGGAGATTCAGGGACTTTCAAGACAAAGTAAGGGTTGGGATACACTCAAGGAGGTCCAGGCAAGCTAAACAGATCCTCGGGCCTTCTCAAAAAAAGCTGCTCAAACTCCATTCACGATTCCAACTGCAAGAGGTAAAAACTCAAATTTCCATCTCTTCATACAAGCATCATTTGATCCTGATTTGTGAAAACAAGATGTAGATATCTTTGCTCTAAAGCTAACCATATTCATAGTTTCCATTTATATTAACTGTGTATAGAGAATTTTAGATTTGAAATTTCTGTAAAAAATTAGGTTTCAAATTAGGGCCAGTAAAATTAGATTTTATCTTTGACTTTTAGTTTACATAAGTTATATGTTTGAATTCGTGGGAAGAAACACCACAACTTTCATGTTTGAACTTTCCATTTTTATGGAGAAATGAGGAAGATACAGGTGGTCCGGCCATGGCTCAAGGTTGAAGATGAAGTTGCCTTCAGGAAGCAGTTTCTAATATATATTTGTGGTTTTGTTTATATAAACGGATGTACATCCACCCCAGTGGTAAGACAGTGCGTGTAATTTCTAGAGGTCACGTGTTCGAGCCTCAGCGCGCTGCCTTTAGCATTTTCTCACATTTTCCACTTTTTTTGTCCCTTGCAGCGCTGGACTTCTGTTTCATGGGCTTATTGCCTTTTCTAACATCATACACCCTGATTACTTGTGACAACCCTGGCCCATTAACATTTTATTTATTTATTTTATTCTTATTTTATTTTCTTAAATATATTTTTCTTAATATTAAAAATCATAAAAAATATAAAAATGATAGATTTATATTTTGGCTTATTTTATTTTATTTTTCTCACAAAAAAATATTTTAATTAGTTATATATCATCTATTTTTATTAAATAACCTTGTAAATTAAATTAGAACTAGGTTAATCTTTATTTTTTCTTTATACCCATTAAATATATTATTTTAATATAAAAAAGACCAAAAATATCTCATAATGCCATATATTATTTTCAAGACAAAAAAATACAAAAATACTTTTTTTCTTAAAAAATTTATTTTTCTTTTAATCAAATAGAATTAGCGTTTTATTCAAAAATCTTTTCTTAATTAATTTCCTTTCTTAATTGATTTAAGTTAATTTAATTTTGATTTATTTATTTTTCTCTAATTAGGTTTAGATCAAAATCTCCTTCATATTAATGAGAACGAGATGAGAACGGACGGGACGGATCCGCAAACACTACATCTTAAAAGTTTAAAAATTACAAAAATTTATATTAATGTTCGCATATGCAAATACTAAAAAAATAAAATGGAGAGGAACATACATATTAGGGACTATGGATCTAACAGTGTAAAAAAAATATAAGTAAAATGGATATGACCACAAATCTGACATATTTTATCATCCATTGACATGGGAACATGAACTCGTAGTCCTCCATTAATAGGAGGAAATGTTTATTCTCTAAATAATACGTATTAAAACAGTTACTACTTCACAATATATGTCGACTGTCTTAGAGGGATCTTATGACCAGCGATGTCATGTCCATCCTATGGAGATAGGGATATTGAAAGGTGCAGCAAAGTTATTCCAATGCAGATTCCTTTTCCTTGTCATAAAAAGCTATTTTCTTCCATTCACATTTCAATTTTTGTCTCAACCTTTTGAAGCAATTGCAAGGTGATTTCGTCTTTTAGATCAACAAGACAAGACAATTTTACAAATAAAGTTAAGAAAACTCTTAAGTTTGAGGCATCTTTTTGTTTTTTTATAGAACCGACCATGTTATCTCTTAGCTAGAGAGACCATATAGTAGAATTCAGATAATATATGCCTTTTCAAATGTGTGGCCAAAATTGATCTTTTTGTGTTGTCTATTTCCATCTAGAAACTCCTAAAGTTACAAAAGTGATGTTTGTTTAATGATAAAAGTTTAATTTTATAATTTTAAAAATATAAAATTAATTATTTTTAAAATGGGTATAAAATAACTTCTCTTTAATTAATACAAAATTACATTACACAATTAACCTTAAAAATTACATTATTATCTTTATTCTCATTTTTTCTTTCTTGTATATACAAAAAATGTTAAAATCTCTTTTTAATATAATTTTGTCTCTTTCTTTTCTATAATGTCAAAGATGATGTCACCCGAACATATCCAACCATGACTAAGATATAGTTTACTATAAGATTATCATAACATGATATTGAGTGTTATGCATAACAAATCTACAACTACATCTAATAAATCCACATGTCCTAGGCATGTTCCCTAACCATAAGTCAATATTTCTTATACTGACTTTATTTTGCATTCAAACTATAGTGTACATGCATGTCCTATTTTGTTTGGTCACATACTTGAAAGAGGGATGTCCTAAAAATATTATATATAGTGAATCACTTGCATGGTTTAGACGTAATCGATTATTTATTATGCTCTTGAATCTTTCTTTGATATGATCATATAGCTATCTTCTTTTCTTTCTTTTCTTAATATATTTTGGTATATATAGACTCTTGTTTCCACACTTCACCCTATATTTATAAATTCAATTTCCAATCTCACTCTTTCATCGTTGTGCTCTCTTCTTCAAACTTCAAACTTCAACTCAAAAAGTTAATAATATTAACAATGCTTTCTCTCAAACTTCTTCTCATTTTCACAGCCGTCACTTTGACTGCGTTGGTATTCAAATCCTCTCTTCCACTGGCCACCACTCACCTCCATCTCTTATGGACTTTCTTCCTTCTATGCTTCACTCCTCCATACCTCTTCTTTACCCTCAATGCCATCATCATCTCCATCCTCGCTTCCTCCAACTTCCACCAATCCAAAGATCAAGCAGTTGAAGAAGAGACGAGACAAATCGACGTCGGAATTTTGCCTCCAAAGATGATAAAATCGCCAGAAAATATGCCGCCGATCGATAAACGGCACCATACGTTGGAGAGCACGTGGAAGGCGATAACGGAGGGCCGGTCAATGCCGTTAAGTAGACACGTGAACAAGTCCGACACGTGGCAAAACCGTTATGACGTTGATGATTCCGCCACCATCAATTTTAGTGATTTAAACTTCAACAAGACTGTGAAACTGAGAAAAGAACCGTCGCTGAGTCAAGACGAGTTGAATAAGCGCGCCGAAGCGTTTATACAAAACTTCAATCAACAAATGAGGTTGCAGAGAGAAGAATCATTAAATCAGTACATGCAAATGATTAAACGTAGTGCTACGGCTAGTTAACTTACATATTTTAAAATATGTATCTGAAAAATACTCTGCTAACTTTTGTTTTTCTTGTAACACCTCGTTAAAATGAGACAATTTATGTTCAAATATTACTTTTTGCAGCTAATTTATATTTTTTATTCTAATTCAAAGATATTTACTTTCCTTTGTTAACAAATTGCAATTCTATTTTGTGTTAATAATTCAACTATAATTTAATGTAACTGAAAAAGTACATTATTTGAATCGAAAACAATTTTTGGGTATAACAGTTTCCACCCTTCTCCCAAAACAGCACATTTCTGAATAAATTTGGTTATCTGTTTTCTCCAGCTTCTCACGTAACTTCTTATCTCTCTCATCTCAACCCGCCTCTCTCTATCTCTCTTCCATCACAAACCTTCAAGGCAAAAAATCGTTGGGATGGAAATTTGTAGATTTAGGGCAAAAAATCTGATGTGTTCCTTAGCTTCTGATTTAAAATCATTTTTTGTTCTAAAGCTTCAGGTTTTTTCGAAATTGTTTTTAGCGTTTTTGTTACAAGCTTTTAAATCTTAATGGTCGATAAAGAGTTCTCTCAACAGCGATTTTGGCTTCACCGGTACCAACTATCGACGATTCGCCTTCTCACGCCAACCTTCCTTTCAACAATGCTTACTCTATTGTTGAGTTGCTCATTGGTATCTTTATTGACTGTGTTGGTAAGATTTCTATATTGAACTCAATTTGAGTTTTCAATTCTCAATTTTAGTTGTAACAACTGTTTGCTTAGGGTATGTTTGGATTTACTTATCTGAGTTTATTTAGTGACTTAAGCTATATGTTATTTTCAGCTTATTAGTCTAAGCTTATCTTGCATAGGTTGTTTCTATCATAAAAAACAAGAGTAAATTTCATATAAACTTTGAATAAGTTGTTTTTAAAGCTTCCGTGAGTGGTTTATCAAAATAAACAATGGAAATAAACTTAAAACAACTTATAAGTTTTTTTAATTTATTTATTATGACCAAGGTATTGTGTTCTAAATTCTGAGTTTGATTTTTTGTTCTTCCATTTGTTTAACTAAGTTATTGACGATGTTGTTAATATGATTATGAATTTTAGTATTGAATATAATATTTATGATATAATATTTCTCAGCTTTGATAGTTCTTTTGGAATGGTCAGAGATAAATGGTTGGAGTAGTTGCTGCAGAATAATTCATTGTACATACAGAGCTTCACGGAGACCGATGATACTCTCAAGCTTGATTGATTCACGGAGGCCGAACGCTAGAGAGAGGTTATGAATCTATATTCAATTAAATTTTGTTCACAGTTTTTCTCATTTGTTAGTATTTATTTCAAAGTGATTCTGAATAGGCAAAGTTACAATTGCATTTGGCAAAGATGGAACCAGTGAGATTGTACAAGACTGATGTCTAACATTAATACAAGTTACTGTAGAACATGTAAATATGTTTTGTCTATACTTTCTACATGACCTTTCGATTTTAGGATTTTTGTTAATACATCAACAGTAGCAACTTCAACTAGATCTGCTCAAGCAATTTTGTCATTTTAATATAAAGCAAGTTTTAAGTTACTTCTACTAAATTTCTTTTGTCTTGTCTTCTTTTCGCTGATAAATATATGTTATATGCAATTTGATCATCTTGCTTTGGCAGGATTTGGTTCCTTGTGTGCTATTGTCTTTTGATGGTGAACAAGTATTGATGATTAACAAGTATTGTCTTTTGAAGGAATCAGAAAGGAAACGGTTGAATGAGTATTGTCGGTTATTTTATCGTGGGAAAACAGCCATCACATGATAGGTTCAGCACATTCAATTTGTTAGATATTTTAATTACCTACTACAAGCAAGGCTATCAAATTGTTCAAAAATACTCGTCATCGACTTATGTGTTTGAAAATACATGTTGATTATGTTTTTCATTCTTTCTGCAGTATCAATGACTTTTTGAATAACATTCACTAAAAAAAAATTTTGAATAACCAAGTATTAAAAAAAAAATCGCAAATAACCACGTTGCGGAAAAAATTACGCAAATAACCATGTTTCAGATGACTCCTCAAAGGAGGAGCCATCTCACTTGGCGCCTACACCTATTATTTAAGGGGAGGCGCCATCTCACTTGGCGCCTAGGTGCTTAGGGCTTGCCCTAAGCCAAGTGAGATGGCGCCTTAGTGCAATTCTAGGGCAATTTTCTCATTTTTTTTTTCAATCCGGTGCGTTGCGTATTCGATACAGGATCAACAAAATTGACTTTTTATTTAAAAAAATGATTACACCCATAAGTATTACATTAAAAATAACAGATAAAAAAAACAGATAAATCAGTGGTCCCCCGGAATCCGGTAATGACCCTCGGTTCCGCATCCCCGTCCTCGCCTTTCCCGTGCTGGGTGTCATCGTGTTTCCTGATGTAGCAGGGTCGATGGCCCAACGAAGTCAATGCGTTCCGGATCCATGAAATCAGTCAGATCTCCATATCTAGAAGATCTGCTTTGGTACAGTCGGTTACCCATACCCTCAAAGTTTGATCGTGTTGGCGGTGGGTGGGGTTCCATGGTGGGTCTGTAGCATTGATCGTCTGAGTACGGGGGGTAGAAAGAAAATGGATCTTGGGTGTTTGGTATTGAGGTTGTTGGGTGGTTTGGTGATACTGTGGTTAATGGTAAGTTGGGTCGGTTGGTTCATAATCTTCCGATATTCTCAGATCAGGGCTAAGGCTGGATGTTGAGGGGCCCATATTAGGATATACAGAAGACTGAAATTGTGTGTGGGGTATGCGAGTGTGTTGGTATTGTGATTGGAATTGCGGTTGGGTGTGAGGCATATGGGGGTATTGGTACTGAGGTGGTGATTGTGGTTGGTTGTGGGGCATTTGGGTGTAATTGTATTATGGTGGGGACTGTGGTTGGGTGTTTGTGGTTCTGTTTCGTCTGGGGGGTTGGTGGGAGGTTGATGTGTGTTGGGTTTGTTGTTGGGGAAACGAGGGTTGTGCCCATTGTGTTCGTGAGTCAACCAAATACCTTGGATGAGACACGTGCATTTCAGGGTTACTAACCGACCTGTACTAAGATAAATATTGATTTGTGTGTCGCATATTACCATGATTGAGGAAAACCGAGAATTGAAAGACATGTCGGTGACGCCTCTGCCACATCTTACACCATTCTGGAGTAAAGTCTTTCCAGTTGGTAAGACCCCACTGGGCGTCGACCCTTTTGAGATGCCACAGGGACAAACAAGTCAGATCACTTGGTATCTCTTGATGCATTCCGAACTGTATCTTCACAAGGTCGCTGTGGTGCATCTCGATAACATTGAATCGTATGATTGCAGTCTTGGCACTCCAAATTGCTGCATCCTCGGGGTTTGGTTCATGGCCCAAACCCAAATATGGTCTCCAGAAAAACTGTGCAAAAAATTAAATCAGGTTAATGAAAATGTAATATATAAATAATTTAAATGTAGAAAAGTTGAAAGGTACGACGTACATCATCCGGGCCTAGGTGATCCAACAGATTGCGGTATAGTGCGACATTAAATCTTGGATTCTTGCCGTAATCCATACCCCTCACGCAATACCTAAAGGAAATGAAAAACATTTTATTTTTAGCATATATTTGGTGAAGAGATGAATAGTAATAAATGATATAACTTGATGACTTACTTTGTTGCGTACGGGAAAACGAATGTATTGTTGTTGACGGGGTTTAAGGACTCCATCCTCCACCAACCCCAGGCTTGAAGTAAAAAAGTGCAACCATAAAATGTATATTTTTCCTTGACTGCATTTTTGCACAAGGAACTGTATAGGTGGGCTAAAACTGCAGAACCCCAACTATACTTTCTTATTTTTTCAAAATCTCTAAGTAAATGTAAATACATAAAATTTACACTATTTCCCGTACTTTCAGGAAATAAAAAGGTTCCAAATAGTATCATTAGATAAGTTCTGGCTTTTATTACCCTGTCTTGCTCAGAGGAATTTTCATTTAATTCCAAACTTGCATAATGATTTTTAAGCTCAGTGAGTAGTATACCCTGACCTCTCGCACCACCACCTTCAACCATATCCCTGCCCAACAATTCTTCACACTGAGAATTAGGTTGTTGAACCGACCCGTTAACGGCCTTACCGTCGACAGGGAGACCCAGTAACATGTACACATCCTCTAGCGTGACGATACATTCACCTATTGGTAGGTGAAACGTATGGGTCTCTGGTCTCCACCTTTCCAATATTGCAAGAATGAACTTCGAATCAATTGTGCAGTTGGAGATCTTTATAACATGTCTGAAACCTGCGTATTCCAGATATAGTACGATAAATGGATCGGGAGCCAGGTAGTTGTGAGACCGAATTCTGAATCTTTTGGTATCCTGAGTTAATAATGTAAAAGGTGTAAGATTAAGTAAGATGAACAAAGCATTACCTGAAGTATAAAAAATGTATAACTAAAATAGAAACTTACAAATGCGACAATGTTGTCCCTTATGCCTCTGTGAGAATCGCCCATTGTGAGAAGAGTCATTATTGAAAATGCCTGAGATTATGAAAGACTTAGAAAGTGTAAGAGATCATGAAAGACTTTGTAGCAGAGAGTGAGACGATTGTGGGTGTGAAAGAAGTATGTTATGCTTTGTATTTATATGCAAAAAAAATTTATAGAGTAAGTGAGGTGGTAGTTGGTGCATGCATGCATGATAAGTGTCACTCTTGCAGAGTAGGCGCAGCTAGGTGGCAGCCTTGGAGAAGGCATCCCTGCTTGCATGTAACACGATTGGACATTAAGGGAGGCGCCATTGGACTTGGCGACAGAGTTCAAAAATTAAAGTTGTCGCTATCCCCATTGGAGAATAAGAGGTGTCATAGGTTGCAGAGTAGGCGCATGCTAGGTGACAGCCTTGGGGATGCCATGCCTGAATGCATGTAACACTATTGGAGGTGATGGGAGGAGACTTACAAGTAACAATGTAGGTGTAGAGTAGGCGCAGCTAGGTG